TGGTAGGTTGGGTTGGGGTCGGGGGGGGGGGAGGCACAGGAAACATAGGGCTTGGGGGAAGGGGGTGAGGAGAGTAGCATAAAAATTTATTTTCCTAAAAAATATTTTCTACTCTCTAACCAAACACTAGAAAATATTTTCCGCAAAAAAAAAACATTTTCCTTCATACCAAACACACCCAAAGTTGTCAATAAATGAAAGTTTCCTCATTTTCACAAATTTGATTGCAACAATAAGTAATAGCAACCATATGCACTGGAAAATGCTACTTTATGTATGGAGCTTTCTGTCATCAACCAGGTTTTAGCCCTCAGAGGATCTTACCATGGCGACACTTTGGGTGCTATGGAAGCACAGGCACCATCACCTTATACTGGATTTTACCAGCAACCATGGTATGGCCTTCTCTTTGTGAAAGCATTTAATTATTTCTTTTGGGGGTGAATTTTCATTGCCATTGGATATCATTGGCCCATAACTAAACAGGATAAGTTAATAATTTTTGTGGGTGACAATCTTTCTGCATGATAATCTAGGCTCTAGAAAAATGGAGCTTTTCTCTTTTGGGCTTCTTTTTCATTTATATAAATCATGCATTTATTGATGGTACTTTTATCTTGTCTTTAATTGTCTTTATATCAGTTTATTTTTGATAAAGTAATAGATGATCTTGCTATAATCTTGTTTTTAAGTGTGTGTCTCACACACAAGTATGATTCTCTATGAAGAGAAATTGATCATCTGTACACAAGTGTTTTCCACCCCTACAAAGCTCTTCAGTTTTTCTTTTCGTATAGCCCAGATGAGCGCAAGAGAGCCACTTCCATGCCCTGTCTTGCCTCGCCTCATTTCTTATAAAATGCCCAAATAGGAAACATACTTTTGACTGGCCGGTATCACCCAGTTGACTCTAAAAGGATTTCGTACTATGCACCAGGGGTGATACAATTCTTGCCCGTGAAGGAAGATATGGTTCACGTCAATGTTTTTTCATCCGCATATAGTTTTCTTTGATAAGCCAAATGTCATATGGTATAAATTGTAGGTATGGAGTCAAAAGATCCACTTAATTCTGAATAGTTCTTGTTACATGCAGCTCTCTAATTCTAATCATCACAAATCTACTAAATATTGATTTGATATTTCATTATTTCTTGACCTTGAAAGATGTTCATAGTACTGTCTACATGTCTGACATGATCCCCTTGAAGTCATTTGTTGCTCATGATAAAGTGCCAAAACCAAGAGCTATGTGAAGTTCATGATTATCATCCTGATTTCTTGTGAGTATTTGGATACTTCTGTGAGATTAGTATATGAAATTAAAAAGAGAACTTGTACGTTGTACTCTCTCCCGGTGTTTATAGTTGTGAAAGAAACACTTTATGCCTAATGTTGTCGGACTGTGAATCTTCTTGAGTTCTATTCTGCACAAGGAAACTTCAGTGATTTATTCTTTTTCGAACTCAAACACTCGATGTCAAGATTGTGTATGTCTTGCCAGTTAGGGTGAACACCATTTCTTTACCATTTTTTCCTCCCTAGGTAAAATCTGAAGTATTGAACATATTGTGAATTTGCAGGTATAAGGGAAGAGGTCATTTTTTAGATCCGCCAACAGTTGCCATGTGTGATGGTGTCTGGAAACTTAGCCTTCCTCAGGAGATTGAAACTCAAAAACCCAATATTGAAGATTTGAGTAAGTGAAGCATAACTTGTGATGATATTCTTATTCCAATTTCAATACTACAACAATTGGTTTCTTCATCAGCTTTCAGTTTGCGTGAGAACATATTCAAGGAAAGTCGTGACAATTCAAATCTTTCTGAGATATATCATTCGTATATACGGCGAGCATTACAGCTAATTATGGACTCAAGTGGATCTACTCAGACTGGGGCATTGATTATAGAACCAGGCAAGACTTTATCCATAAGCACAGTTTATTTTTGGTCCTCTTTTCCCCACCATTTTTCTTTCCTTCTTGCTCATGGTTCATGCATACGTAATTCTAGAGGCATTTACTTTTTTTGGATCTTTCTCTTCCATACTCTTTATTGTATATGATTTGCTCTTCCCGCCTCACCTATTAGTTGATGAGCCAGTTGGAGGCCAAACAGAATGAGGAATGTTATAACCCCCCTGGAAGTGAGGGAGTTATTATGAGACAACAAAATTTTCTAATTCATGGAATTTTGTGTTATTATGAGATATATCTTAATAATATATTACGTGGACTCTTCAAAATCGTTGCCGCACCGTTGTCGACACGGCATAGGTGTGGGTGTAGGATCAGTACTGGATTTGGTCAACTTACTTTGGGTACTTTGACAACATTCTGTGACCGAGAATATAGATTGATTGGGTATTTGGTTTGATTTTTTGGGTTTGTGTCATTATATATATATATATAGTTATATAAAGTATGAGAATGATTTTCTATTATGCGAGATCTTATGAATAAAATATTGGTGTCTATAAAGAATAAAGTTGTATTAGTTGTAGTTTAATCACTTTAACTAATCGAAATATATACTTTATATGTTGTAATATACATTTATTGGTTGTATCCCAGCATCCCTATCCTCAGTCGGATCCGTACCCTCCAATCCTAAAATTTATGTGATGAAGTATCCGACCTCTAGATCTGCACCCGGACCCGAGTTCGAGCAACATAGGTGTATGATATTCTTAATGACTTTCTTGAATGTCAAATAATGACATAATTATTGAGTTTATTCCACACTATTCGTAATGATTCTTTTACTTTCTATGACGATTCCTTTTACTTGCAATTATTTGCAGTGGTACAAGGTGCTGGAGGAATGGAAATGGTCGATCCACTATTTCAGAGAGTACTTGTTAAAGAATGCAGAAGTCAAAAGATTCCTGTTATTTTCGATGAGGTTTTTACGGGATTCTGGCGTCTGGGAGCAGAGGTTTGTTTGCTAAATCACTTTGCGGTTCTTACCAGATTACTTGATGTATCATTTCTCTGGTTGAGGAATTTCATTTTGTATCTTTTGCTTTTTCAGTCTGCCACGGAGTTTATCTGCTGTAAGCCAGATATAGCCTGCTATGCCAAGTTGATGACTGGTGGCATTGTGCCCTTGGCTGTCACTTTAGCATCAGAAGCTGTATTTGAAGCATTTGTTGGAGATTCAAAGGTATATCCATCTGTGTTTACTGTCTATATGTCAAGTATTCTTTTTGTTCTAATAGGCTTGTCAAGTATTTGCCAAAAACCATCAGTAGTTAAGCCCAATTCAAGCCCTCAAACAAAACTAATATCATATGATTGGTGGTGTAACCTCATTCCTTTGCTTCAGCTCCAGGCTCTCTTGCATGGTCACTCTTACACTGCACATGCAATTGGTTGTACCGCAGCTGTAAAGGCAATCAAATGGTTTAAGGACTCCAAAACAAATCCTAATTTGATATCTGAAGCTGTGATGCTCAGGGAGGTATGTGAAAATTTATGCACATTGTTGATAGACCGATAATTAAGTATTCATTCACTTGCTGTTCCCTAAAACAGTTTCACTTGTGAAAATTTCCTAATAACAGTTTTCTTCTCTCCTAGGCTGTTTTGAGGGAAACATGTAAATATCCTTGTTTCTGTCTATTCAGCACAATGTCCTTAGATGAACAAAAACCTCTTTGCACAAATAATTGGAGCCATCAAAGCTGAGAAAGCATACTAGTCCAGAATATTAGTAGCATACTTTATAGCACCAAGTGTGACTTTGATTGACTTTAAAAATCACCATATAGGCTTCACCATGTTACACGGATCCTTCATATGCCATGACGTACTTGTATCATCTGGGCTTGATAAGGTGTGGGTACTCCGTGCAGATTCTTCATAAAAACACACAAACATTTAGCAAGAAACCTGATGTACCCGTACTGGATACTTCCATACAACCGTACTAGAAAGTATCCAGTCATCACATTCATCCAATTTCTACTATTATCCACCGATTAAATTTGAACAAAAAATGAGGAAAGATAGTGCAGTAGCACTAGGTGACCTTGTAAATAATTTGTAAGGGACCTGTTATAAAGGATGAATTCCCAACATCTTGCTTTTGATCATGTTGCTTGTTCTCCCACTCTCCTTTCCATCATTTCTTGGGTGTTTGCAGCTGTGGGATTCAGACTTGGTGAGACAGATTTCCTTACTTCCAGCAGTGCACAGAGTGGTTGTGTTGGGGACTCTATGTGCATTGGAACTTCGAGCAGAAGGCTCTAACGCGGGGTATGCGGTCTATGCTGTTTTCTCGTAAATTAATAGTTCTGACTTCTGTATTAGTTCTCATTGACAATGCACTGATTGTTTACACATGTAAAATCTTAATGCTTACCTTATACCATGTGAAAGTGGCGCAACATATGAAAGCTGTAATAAAGAGCTCCACTTAATTAAGGAGCTAATTTTCATTTTTTGTGAGCTCAATTATAATATCCTTGTACTGTCTTTTTGCATTGACTTGATGCTAGGCAATGAAACTTTTGCTTCATTAAAAAAACATAAAGTAAAGAGCTCCACCTAAGAATCATATATAAGCTTATTCCATGAATTCAACCAGGTATAGGAGTGCTTTTTGACATGTGTAATTCATTGGACAATAGCCGGCAAAACTTACATGTGGGACTTCTTTTCCTTTTAACCCTGAAGTACCCAAAGGATTAAGGCCCCATTTGGACAACATTTGGTTGACGGAAAAAACGAGTATTTGAAGTTGCAAAAGAGTATTTGGAGAGTTCGTCTTTGGACTTGAATTCACTCAAAAAAAAAATTGAAGTTCTGGGAGTGAAAACATCACTTAAAATACTCCTTAAACTAGTTTTTCAACTTCAAATTCTCTATTTCAAGTTGAACAAAGTTAACACTGATTTGCAAATAGTATTTCTGTTCAAACATCTTTGCATATAATATTTTGGCTTGTTCTTATCTCCAAGTCTTCATTCCGTGTTTCCAATTTTGATACTTCTGAAGCTCATTTTGTCTCAAAACATGCAGGTATGCTTCACTATATGCCAGATCTCTCATTCAGAAGCTCCGTGAAGATGGCATCTATATGAGGCCTCTTGGCAATGTCATTTATCTCATGTGTGGGCCTTGCACATCTCCTGAGAGTTGCAGCAACTTACTAAACAAGGTGTATAGAAGACTTGAAGAGCTCTAAACCAGTGAATCGACTTCAAGACTAGATGGTAATCCTTCTGCTTTCTTTAATGGTTTACTAGCTATCTTGAAGTCTATTCAGTCTGCTTCTTGCCTTCTAGGCCCTGTAGCTTAGAGCTCAGAATTACAAATTGTCACACTCCTTTTCTTCTTGTTCTTAGTCTTTTTTCATAAGCTAGAGCGGAACATTTCAATAAAAAATAAAAGCAGGATCCATTCTGGCGCGATCTTTCTATCAACTCCTAGAAATAGAAAACGTATGCAACAAAGAGCTAGAACAGGCCCGAAAGCCCTAATTATTACCGAAACAAATAGAGAATGTTGCCTAATAAAAGTCGTCATCTTTCGAATTTAGCATTCTTTGCCTCTCCAACCACAGGGACCTACCTTAGCCATATCAAGGTGATTTAAATGCTAAAGGTGGATTTTCTATCTTGAGATACCACTTGTTGATTGTTTTGTTTGATCTAGACTGAGTTTTGACTTCTAATTGTCAGTAGAAATCTGAGTATTTGATTGGACATCCTCCTTTTATAATTACCTAACAGAGCTCTATATTTTTAAACATAAAGTGAAATTTACAGAGAAGCCAATCTAAGAAAATTCTTCTTCTACCAAAGGCAAAGGGGCATCTCACCAAACATATTAATCTGAGTAGGATTGACAGTAAATGGAGGAAATTCACCAAGTCTTTGAATAAATCCGCCCATTCCGAAACCACTCAAAAACCCATTTCATGAATTTTCAACGCCTCGAAGGAAACCTGTTTTTTGTCGTATCATTTTTTGTTCATATGAACCCCATTGGTGTAAGGATTTGATTCAGGCTTTTTTAGTTATCACTTATCTACCATTTGTGGCCTTTGCATTCAAGGTCTTCCTTACTGTTCCATTTCTGTTGTCTCCTGATAAAACAAAAGACAGAAACCATATTATTTTTGAAGCATGACATCTTATAGCTGCTTCAGTAGTTGTACTCTTCAAGAAATTTTTTGACCTGAAATGTTGTAGATTAGAGAAGAGGCATTCAAATGTACTAATTCACATATCACCCTACTTCTGTGTGAAAGGAGATCACGTTACTATTGGACACTGCAGGTTAAAACCAAAACTTGTGTTATTGTTTTCTTCTTTTTTTAACTCTAAATTCCTACAGATTTGTAATTTGTGATTAACATATTTTGGCTGTGTTGCAGGCTTGTGCAAAAACTGTGAAGTTCAATGTGTTGAAGGTGATTCCATCTGCGTCTGCTAGTGGAGAAAAGAAAGCATTTTACAAGACTAAGAGCTTAGTATCTCTAGTTTTGTAGTTATATTCAGAGATTAGAATTATGATGAGACTATACTTGACACTAACCAACTCTGAACTATAAGGATTTCTTCATTTCCAGCATCGCATATTGATTAACTTCAATTATGCAACAAAACTAAAAACTTGCGCAATATGTAAAGGAAAAAACAATCATCTACAGATATCTGTCAAGGGACACCAGGCTCAAATATATAAAAAATTTACGACTAGGAACAAATAATATCGCCATAATTCATGCTTCCATATATTATAATAATACCGAAAAATGATATATACACACACACACACACTATGTATGTCGTATACAAATTTTTACATTTTTTCGGCTACTGAATGTGAATAATTTCTGGCATGGGAGATATTACACTACTAATAGCTGTATAATTAACACGAATGTACAGAAACCGCCATCAATATCCCTCAAAGAAAGAGACTAAGAAACACCCCTAAACATGCACCAGAAGGCCAATAAATACATAGCTGAAGAAACCCTCCTAAACTACTCTAGCTGATCTGCGTGAGATTTGTTTGATGGGGAGATATTCACCAATTCCTTAACTTCAATTTATTTTATTTTCTGCATAGCTAAACTACACTAGCTACTAAATCACACATGATATGCATAGTTCATCTCGTCTCAATGTACGAGGATATAGTTTCAAACAGTCCCGGGTAAAAATGCTCGTCCTGGTTCTCTCGCAGCTAAAGGTCCATGGCACCCAAGAAGCTGCAAGACAAGAAGAAGCACGAAATCAGCTATATCTACTATGCTAACCATGTTAAAATACCAGATAGAATGTGTATTAATATAAGCACCATATCAATAAGAATACATACTAAAAAGGCGAAGAGTGCCTATATATTTCACAATCCTGTGTCTTCATGGAATCCTTAATGCAAAGCTCCTAATTGGACAAATATGATAACCTACACAGACTACACTTTAGCAGTTGTGGCTAAACAACTCAGAAAGCATGAAATATATATAGCTACTAAGATAAAGGCAGCCCGGTGCACTATGCTCCCGCTATGTGCGGAGTCCAGGGAAGGGCCGGACCACAAGGGTCTATTGTACGCAGCCTTACCCTGCATTTCTGCAAAAGACATGATTAGATACTGAATGCCAATAGTTGTTCTACGACTAACTATAGTCGTTCCACGAGTACATCACGAGCAACACAGCTTAAACGAAGTTATGCTATATATAGATAGTATGAAGTCGATACAAAAGCAGCCAATCGAATAAGCAAAATTACCAAAAAGCTAACAATTGTTTATGAAACATATAAGTGAGAGCCTGCTTAATTAGAAAATCATAGGCAACAATATAAGAAAGATCAAAAACATATAAAGCAATACCATTTACTGCTAATAATAATTTTCTGGCGGCCAGGAAACTTGAACTTTGCACGACGCAAAGCTTCTTGGGCGTGATGACTGTTTGAATCCCTGCACCTAACAGAAAGCAGAACCTGGCCAATAGAAATGCGCGCACAAGTCCCAAGAGGCTTGCCAAATGCTCCCCTCATACCCGTCTGGAGCCTGTCGGCTCCAGCACAGGACAACATTTTGTTTATGCGCAGAACATGGTAAGGATGAGCTCTGACCCTAAGGTGAAAAGCATCCTTTCCTGCATTCTTTGACATGTACTTATTACACGCTATACGCGCAGCTTCCCATACGTGTTCTGTATGTCGCCTAGTTTTAACATTTTGAGCAGCCTAAGTAAGGTCTAGAGCCACCCAAATAAAGGTCCGATGCCTCCTGGACCATAGGCATGGGACGGATAGTGCACGCATAGGGTACGACTTAGAATTGAATTAGAGCGCCTTTAGGTAAACAACTTAAACATAGTAATCGGGTAGCAGGAGATGATAGTACGTGCCCGCTGAATAATATGAGTAACTTCCTACATCAAGGGAGTTGCGACTCTGTCTGCTGGGAAGGTCTATCCAGCTGTCTATCAGGACCTACATGCAGGCATGAAATGCAGCGTCCCCAACAAAAGGGACGTCACTAGACACATTTTCTTTCTCCCAACTAACCAAATGAACACAACACGGAAACTCATCGACCCCCTTTTTCTTCATACCAACGTCGTAAATCCTGATCTTAGGATCAGGCACACCACGACAATATCGCGATTTTGGATAGGGCTTTCCCTTTATTTGACGATAACACCTAGCAGGTCCTACAACCAAAAAACAAATTCATTATACAAGCACCATTATACAACCTATCAAAAAATTTAAATTTCACCTTGCCACAGGCAATTATTTGCTTCAACTTAAATTTTAAAGTGAACTATTCCCATTTTCGTTAAGTTAAAGGTCAAAAGTGCACGTTTATAGCAAAAAGTATATTGTTAACATTTATTCCCTTATCAATCTCTCCGGAGTCTAATCCATAAAAAGTAATTACTTACGTAATAGAAATAGGCATTTGATGCACTAGTCAAGATTTTCAATACAAATATTCTTGAGTAGAGTTATGCAAAATCCTAGAGTCAAAACCAAGAAGAAAAGCAGAAATTGACAGCAAAGTAAAAGCGAAGAAAACACCAAAATAAATTTTTTAAAAAAAAATAAAATTCATCCTTTTTAACCCAGGAAAATGCAAATCACCCACCCAAAGAAAAAAATTCAGTAGAATTCCCATGTATTCTTTTCCAACTTTACAAATCCAAACTTGACTAGTAGATAACAAGATAAAAGAAAAGAAAAACATATAAGTCATATTTAAAAATGGTGATTTGTAAGTCGCATTTGGAGATTACGATTTATAAGTGCATTTGGAGATCTCTCCCTCGATTTATAAGTCGCATCTACTGATTGCGATTTATGCATCCATGGAAGTTGTAAGTGACGAGATACCTAATATCTAACAAATAGTTATGTGATGCACTACTCAATAGATAAACATTCTTGAATACAGTTATTCAGAATCAATGAGACAAAACAAAAACAAAATTATCAAAAGATGTTTTAAAAAATGAAACAAAACTCCTCCTCTTTTAACCCAAAATATTTCGGACATACATAATATAGACATTAATTAATAAACTGAAAAGAGGTTTAGAAACTTTACTTCTCCCCATAGCAGAGTATTATTATTTTTGTTTCTTCAACTTCCAGCAACAAGCTAAAGTTCATATATATGAATTTTAAGAAAACAAAATGAAATTGTTGAATATATCCCATATTTATAATTATTTCTTCCACCGCTTTTTAATATTCTGGTTGTATTTATCAGTTTTTGTGTAGATGATAAATAGTACTAATATACTAGAACTAGTTATGAACGTAAAGAATACGGCGGGAACTTGACGTGTCTATTTTTTGCACCAAAAAGAATAAAGTGCAAACAATAATAACCAGACGTGTGACACAATATGAAGAGTCTGTGGCTTAATAGTCAATGAAGCGGTTTGAGAATCAATAGCGTAGCACATATAATGAAGGTCAGGTCAGTTGGACATCCAAAAATATCGTATATATAAAAAATTATATTGCGTATATAAATCAAAAATTACTTTTTTTTATATGTATATTAGATGTTGAACATGGGTTCTTTGGAGCAACAGTAAAGTTATCTCCGCGTGTCCTATAAGTCACGGATTCGAGCCGTGAAAGTAGTCACTAATACTTGCATTAGGGCAGGCTGTCTACATCACGCCCTTTTGGGTGCAGGCCTTTCCCAGACGTTGCGTGAACGCGGGATGCCTTGTGCACCGGACTGCCCTATATTAAATCTTTAACACCTTTCAAAATTCAAAATATATATACTGCTCTAGAAAACTTTTACATGTCTCAAATGCACCAAGGACAGTAGTAGGTGATTTCTTTATCTATCCAAGCTTTGATAAATAAAGTAACTCGGTATTTTTATTGGAGAAAGGTAATAAGAACTCCGTCAAATTAATCGAGGTGCATGCAAGTTTATGGTTATCAAAAAAGATGCCTGAAACAGTACTGTTTTTGAAACATGACATCTTGTTGGCTGCTTCAGTAGTCATATTCTTAGAAACTCTTTTACCTGAAATCATATGTATAACAGAAGGTTTTTAAAAAATCATCTCAATTCAAACCAAAAAGGTGAAATGAGACATAGAACATACCTCAGTGTTAATCCCAAGATTGAAAAGCACAAATGCAAACTGAGGCAATTTTCCCTTTTAACATTCACTCAAAATTACACAGCTTCCAAACTTGACGAATGCATAACTAATAATCTTATAATAATGACAATACATTATCGAATTGTGAGGACCGAAAAAAGTCAGGTGTCATGCGGAAGCTAGCAAAGCAAACCTTGAACGACGATAAATCATATAACAAAGAGAAATCTACCAAAAGAGACACAAACATTTAACGTGGTTCGGTCAACTGAACTACGTCCACAACGGAGATGAGCAATCCACTATGATAAAAGAGAGTACGAAATATCGAGAGAACAACCTCACGAAGAGGTAAACACAAGTGACACACTAACACTTGTCCCGTAAAGTTCTCCCCCTAAACAAGACTCTCAAGCCCCCTATGGCTACATTGTGGATGCTACTGAATGAGAAGGAAGGATCCTCAATTTATAGAAGTCCAAACCTTTTCTTACAAGAAAAAGGACTAGCCAAATATTGGAGATTTATAATTTCCTTTTACAAAAAGGAAAACCCAATTAAGGTAATTATATTGTCCTTTTCCTTCAAGAGATAGGAAAACCAAATATGGTAAGAAAATTATGGCAAACACCTAACACGAATGTCATAATTGTGAAGACGACTAAAGGATCGAATTAGCGCTTCAAGAAACTGCTCGTCCCATACTTTCTGCCTATCTCATATGTGTGGAACCTGGTCTTTTTCAATTCCAGCCTCTCGCTCGACTACATAGGGTAGGTAGGGTTGGGTGAGAAATGGTTCCCTCTTGCCAATAAATTTTCCCCAGCCTTTGATTAACCTTACTATAAAGGGTCTTACGGTCGGGAAGACTACCTCACCAAAGAAAAATAGCTCGGACACGATCATCTCATCAGCAAATTGAATAAAATCAGAGTCATATTGATATTGGCTGAATTGCAACTGCACATATGCAGATTTAACAACTGAGATGCTCACAAATAGCATAACAAGAAAAGGTTCCATAGCTACTCTATTCCTCAGCTTTTCATCTTTATCTTCAAATGGCTTGAATTTACCAGGTGAAAAAGCTAGAAATTACAACCAAAAAATAAAAGATCAGATGGTGATTTTGGGTGCGTCACTGGCACAGATTTAAAACCGGAGATAGCCTCCAAAAAAGAAAAGGAAAAAGATGATGAAGATTTAAACTCTGAGGCAAGCAACCATGATCAATTTGAATGAGAACGTTGCGAAAGCATATTATGCAAAAAATCTCCTTTTGGAAGGTTGAATTTTTTTATGCTGTCAGCTGATGCAGAAGCAAAAGAATTAGAGCTAGCCCAGAACATGTATGCATGTCTGTTGCTAACAGCAAGGCTTCTTATTTCCTCAACGTGACATGTTAACGTGAGCTTTAGCCTCCCACTTGCTAAATCCATATCTTGATAGTCCGATCAATCGATTTATCTTTACATGAAAAGTGGCTTGATAATAGGCTATATAGACGCTATTTACACTCCAAATGTACCATACTTTATTGTTGTTTTAAAGGCTAAATGATAACAAAATACTCTAATTGCTGTTCTTTTGCTTTGCAGGGACTAATCCAAGTTAGGAAGAGACTATGGAGTGTTTTGGAGTTAATAATGTGGATATAAGGCCAATCAAAAAGAACCCAAACGAAAATAAGCAAGAAAGAGGCAAAGGAGGACTGGGCAAGAAGCCACCGCGACCGCGGTCGACCCCAGCTGGACCGCGGTAGGCCAAGCAAGTGAGGCAGAATAGTTGCGTTTCACCGCGGTCGCGCCGCGTTCTGCCGCGACCGCGGTCGACTGTGTAACTGCCCAAAAATTTTGGGACTAAAGTGTAAATCGGGAGAAATTTATCCTAACCCTTTATAAACTCAACAAACTCGCCCAAGCGAAGGTTAAGCTTGTTTTTAGACTGAATTGGAGGCAAGAACAAGTGTGAGAAGAGCAATCAACCATTAGAGTTTTTTTCAATCTTCTCTTTGTTATTTCAATTGCACATTATGAATACTTTTGTAGTTTCATCTTGCTTTGCTATGAGTAGCTAAATACTTTGTCTAGGGTTGTGATGGAACCTATTGAAGGATGAACTTCGTGTTATGTTAATATAGTTTGCTCGGTTTAATCTCTATTTGTTCAATTATGTTCTTGTTGTAGTTAATTGATAGGATCCTCAATTAGCTGTGCCTATTTAGTATGTATTACTCGGGAGAGAGTGCATATTTAGGTAATTGTTGAACAACACCATTCCCAAAGTATATGAGGGATCAATAACTGAGGGTTTAAAGGCGGGATTAGGGATAACAAAGCCTTGGGTGCAATCTAAAGTGAGCTGTAATAAAAGCCAGCTAGCGTAACTCGGGAGAGTGCGTCTAGTAAATTGTTGTGATTACTCGGGAGAGATTTACGGTAATAAGAGTGCTCATGACCGATAGAGACGATTAGGAAAATCTATGCGAAACATAACAGGAAGGGATTCCATCAATAGGGGAAATCATAACCTTAGATCCTTCTCTTATTTGTTTACAACTCAATCATAGTTAGTTGTTAGTTTACTTGCTTATATTCAGTTATAGTTAGTTAAAACATCACCAATTATTATTTAAATATCTTGAAAGTTGATTAGAAAGAATTTAGTGAGTCTAACAAAAGTAATTGGTAGGTTAATTCTCTGAGGATTCGACTCTGGGCTAAATACTCGGATTATATTTGCAGCGACCGCTTTATCCATTTTATAAGGCATAGTTGGGCGTGATCGAATTTTGGCGCCGTTGCCGGGGACTTAACGGTGTTATCAATTACAATTGAAAGAAATACAAAAATTCTTAGTATAGTCAGTTTTCTTTGCTTCCAATCTTTACATTGAAATTTTAACGTTTGTTGACTTGGTTGTACAGGTGCATGCCTAGAAACTCATCGAGAACTGGTGAAGTATTTGAAGCATTATTAGATCCCGAGAAAGTTTTCAAGGCCTTGAACCGGGCCAACCGGAAAAACAAATAACAACAAACAACTGAATAATTCGAACCGGACATGGGGGACAATGATCGCAGCCAACTCGCACTACTAATAAGTGCAAGAGAGGGTCGCAATAGCTTTTACCCGATTTTGGGTCGGGATTGAATCCACAGAGAGCTAGGATTGGAATTGAGTATCTATCTAGTTTAGGATTGCGTATGTGCTCTTAATTGGTCTTCTATTCATTTTTGGTTTTTCTTTATATTCTACTATGATCAAACTACAAATTATAATTGCAACTAAATTAAACTAAGAGTAAATTGCTACAAGTTGTATCTAATGGTCTAAAAGGCACTAGGATAGTGACTTTCACCTAGGTGGCCAATTGACGGGTACTTGCATCCAAGGCACGACTGACATGATTGGGGAATATGTTATAACTGTTGCTCGATACTACCCACTCCACACCTCTCGGTAGAAAGAGTGATTTTGCCCAATTGACTTTCTCAAGACCAATTGGGTATGCATATTTGTCCAAGCAACTAGGGTTCAAGTCGGGTATTACTTTCTCGAGGTTTAACCCTTTAATTGGGACTATCAAATCTCTTGAGTCCATCCCAATTCCTTGTTGAGTCAATTTTGGAGACTTAGGTTCTCTTTCTCAAGAAGAGCCCAAGTCAACTTAGCACAAACTAGTATTTGCAACCACTAATTCATAAATTAAACCATAAAATTGACCCAAATAATAAACACCCATAGTCAATCTAACCTTAAATCACAACACCCATCAATTACACACACTAGGGTTGAGCCACAACCCTAGCTAATAGGTCTAGCTTCTCATGCTTGAAGAGAAAATAAGAGAAATAGATTAAGAGAAAGACATATTAATTAATTACTAATGTAAATACAAAGATTCAACAATTAAAACTAAGTAAGAGTGCCCAAAATGGCTAAGAAAAGTCTTCTCACGAGCGCAGCTACTGTATTACAACGTTAGATACCCTAAAAATGGAAAAAGAATCTATTTATACTAAGCTGA